TCTAAGAGGAAATAAAAATCAAATAGAAGATAAACTAGCGGGAGGATTCCTCAATGACCCGTGTATGAGTGAACGAGGACAGAGAAGGGGTGTGCTCCCCGCTACCCGCCAGCCCCGACTGCAGCAAACATGGGCCAAGGCCCTGTAACTTCTTTTTAAAAAAAGATTTATTTTATTTACTTATGCATGCAAGAGATGGGGTGTAGGCCAGAGATACGGGGTGGTGAGAGGACTCACCAGAGACAGAGTGGGGAGCAGAACAGGAGGATCCACTGAAATCCACTGCTGAGGGGAGCAGCGGGGAGACAGGAGAGGTCTGCTGCGCCATGTGGGCAGCTCCCTGCCCAGGGATCGAACTCGTGCTGCAGAGGCTGCGGGTAGCTTCATAGTACTAAGACTAACTCCTTGAGCCTCCAGGGAGGCCCTATCATAATTGATTTTAAATGAAAATGATTTTGAGATACAAAATCCTAGTAATAAATCGAAGTAATAAGTAGCAAGAAGAGTTACAAATAATAAAAGAAGTATTGAAATATCAAGGAATAGTAGATTTTAAGTCATCGAGTACAAGAAGGGAGTTATCTAGAAAAGGATTCAAAAAAAGGGCTAAGTAGTGATTTACCGCCTTCTTAAACAAGGGTAGAGGTTGAGAGGTTGTGTAAGCTCTTCCTTCGGAGGCTGATTGCAAGAGTCAGAGGGAAGATTCCAATGCCCGGCCTCTGGCTTTGAGCCAACAATGGCTGCTACATCTTGCACAGGACCTTGCATCTCCTGGACTCCTTTGTTGAAAATGAAAATTATTAAACACTATTTGAAAATCAATATGGCATTTTTTAATCAAAAAACAGAAAATAGGGGCCTCCCTGGTGGCGCAAGGGGTTAAGCACCATGCTGTGAAGCTGTCCACAGCCTCTGCAGCGTGAGTTTGATCCCCAGCCAGGGAGCTACCCACATGGTGCAGCAGACCTCTCCTGTCTCCCCGCTGCTCCCCTCAGCAGTGTGTTTCAGAAGATCCACCTGTTCTGCTCCCTGCTCTGTCTCTGGTGAATCCTCTCACCTCCCTGCACTTCTGGCCAGTACCCCAGCTCTTGATGCATAAATAAATAAATAAATAAATAAATAAATAAATAAATTTTAAAAGCAAACAAAAAAAAAAACCATAAAATATTATATAAATTTGGACCCCATAATTTTCTGGGATCCTATTTGGGGAAATTAGTTCAATGTGTGGAAAATGAAATACATAGTGATATTCATGGCAACTTTTTATTAAAAGAGTGAAAGTTGGGGGCCTCCCTGGTGGCACAAGGTGTTAAGCACCGCACTATGAAGCAATCCACAGCCTCTACAGCATGAGTTCGATCCCCGGCTGGCCAGAGAGATACCCACGTGGCGCAGCAGACCTCTCCTGTCTCTCCCGCTGCTCCCCTAAGCGGTGTATTTCAGTCAGTCTGCCTGTTCTGCTCCCCACTCTGTCTCTGGTGAGTCCTCTCACCCCCACACCTCTGGCCTGTACCCCAGCTCTTGTATGCATAAATAAATAAATCTTAAAAAAATAAGGAGTGAAAGTTCGAAGATATGCAAATATTCCACCATAGAACCGTGGTTATGTAAGATGTAGCACACCAGCACGTGATAGCATGTTAATTAAAAAATAGGAAAATACTTCTATGTCATGATACTGTTAGGGAATAAAAGTAGGATGGCAATGTAAAGATACACAATTGTATTAAATATATATATATATATATATATAATAAATTTTCAGGAAGGGACAAACCCCAAAATAGCAGGGAGATAATTCCAGTGTTGTGCATTTATATCTTTCATAAGGTTTCTAACCTCATTTCAAATGATCTTACAGAGAGTTCAGAGTTTATGGGTTGATAAATCTTTGGGGAAAGAAACTGCGTGAAGAAGTTTCACTTTTGGAAGATTGTTGTGTCTTGTGAACACTATATTTCCTCAGTCCCAATTTAAAGAAGCTCTATGCTAACCTCAAACTTTTGTTTTCCTGTTTTATCATCTCCCACATAAAGAAAGGCTAATAATTTTCACTTCACTGTGAAATAACAGCTTTTCCTATTCTTAATTTTTACAGGCGAGGAAGAGAAATAACGTGTGGATTTTTTAGATTTCCCTCTGGGTTTTAGCTGCTGCAGCTAGAATTTGTTTTTTCTCGTAATCAGTTCCTTAGGAAATATATTTTATCTTTTACTTAGGATGTTTAATTTTGTGCTGATTAGTCGGAACATTAAACATTCAATATTTAGAAGTCCGGAATGTATATTGAAATCTGTATTGTATAGAAATCTGTAATTGGTTTAATTTAATCACACTCAACTCCCTCAAAAAATATATTCAATTATTTTAAAATAATATAACCAATTAAAGAAAATTGAACAGAACCACAGAGCAGATATATCACTGCGTGTGTGTTATGCATCCAGTGACTTCTCAGTCTATTTAGTAGCTTGAAATATCTTAGACTTCTGCATGTGAAATGTGCTGGGACGCCCAGCAACATAAGCTGTTCTCAGAAACAGGACTAATAGGGGCAGTGCTCACTAAAGCAGAGTGTTAGAAGATCCAACTTAATCAGATTTCTGAAGTTCAGCCTCTCTGCTGTGTGTCAGTTCAAATCTGACAAAGAAGAGACAGGGATGAAAAGGAGGAATATGATTATTTTATTAGCTTTTCTAAAATATGTAAATCAGACACCTGTGTGGGTGTGCCGGCAGGGTTCAGTTGCGAAGAACTGACTTACTCTAACTAGTGCAAGTATGAAATATTTTGTTGTAAGTATTCAGTGATCTACAGAGTTAATGAGCTAAAAAAACAGTCCCAGGCGGCCTCTCAAGAATGACTATTCCAGGGACTCCCTGTTGGTGCAGGGGTTAAGTCTCAGCACTGTCAAGCTATCACCAGCCCCTGCAGCACAAGTTCGATCCCCAGCCAGGAGCTACCCACATGGCACAGCAGACCTCTCCTGTCTCCTGCTGCTCCCCTCAGCAGTGTGTTTCAGTAGATCTGCCTGTTCTGCTCCCCACTCTGTCTCTGGTGGATCCTCTCACCCCCCGCACCTCTGGCCTACACCCCAGCTCTTGGATGCATAAATAAATAAATCTTTAAAAAAAAAAAAAAAAACGACTATTACAGTTAAACTCTGGGACCCAGCCACCAAGGAGAGGACCAGTGTCCTCCATGGGCACGCAGCCCCTCCAGGCACCCTCGCCGGCAGCCCCCTCAGCGTCCTGTGTCCTTTGGGGCCCTCAGCGTGGCCCTGTGCGGGAGGTCCGGGGCCTGGCAGGCGGACTTTACCCCTCCTACCAGCTGTGGAATCCCACTGCTGTGCAACCCCACTGCTGTGCAACTTGCACCCACAACCTCACGCATGTGTCCTGTGCCTGCTTCCCGACTCCCGGTGCTGGGCACAGTGTGCCATCTCCAGTGGTCGCTTACAGGTGCAGCCACAAGGGGAGGAAACCTATTTTATCTGCTTTTATTGAGAGAACATTGGTTCACAATATTATATATGATTTTTTCCTTTTTTTCTTTCTTTCTTTATTTTAATTTTGTATATATATTTTAGATCATTTTTCATTCTTCTACAATGTATGCATTTTCATCTTGGTTATAGTCCCCATACAATTCCCACTCCCCCTTTTTATTTTGACCCTACCCCCCTCCCCATAGTGTGTCTCTGGTTTATAGTTGCTTGTTGATTTTGATTTTTACTTTATTATAATTAGTCTTTTTCCTGGTCCCTTAGTTAGGTTTTCTAAATTCCTGCTATGAGTGAGACCATCCGGTATTTTTCTTTTTCTTTCTGGCTTATTTCACTGAGCATGATCCCTTCCAGCGCCATCCATGTTGCTGCAAATGGCATGAGTTTATCTTTTTTGAATGCTGAGTAATATTCCATGGTGTATATGGACCACATCTTCTTGATCCAGTCATCTATTTTTGGGCATTTGGGCTGTTTCCATAGCTTAGCTATTGTAAACAGTGCTGCTGTAAACATAGGGGTGCAGGTGCTCTTTGGAATTGATGTTTCCGTGTCCTTTGGGTAAATACCTAGGAGTGGAATTGCTGGTCCTATGGAAGCTCCATTTTTAGCAGATTGAGGAAACTTCTCTTCTCACTTTTACTTGCAAACGTCAGGCTCTTGCACCCACTGGGGCCCCTTATGCATATGCATAGTCTGGACTGCCAGGGAGTGTGAGGGGGTGTGGGGTGTGTCTTTCCTCTCCTTCAGGATGGGAGACACCATGGGGGCAGGGGAGCCGGGTGTTAGGCGCTATCAGGCTGCATCCCCTTGGCTACTCAGCATGCATGCACACCCTCTTCTGCACTCAGGCTCCCCAGATGCCCCAACTAGCAAAGACGGGGTTGCCTACACAGGCACTGTATGCCTTACAGGAGTGGACGGACACCAGCCTTTCCCTCAGAGGCAGCGCCAAGGGACTTCCATGAGTCAGCCCCTCTGGATGAGAACTTCTCTGCTCCCCTGGTGCCTACGTTAGAAGTCACCCACACCCACACACACTCATAGAGCCTCGGCAGGAAGGAAGGGGCTGTGTGACACTTACATCCAAACTAGCACAAGGGAGGCACTATGGCTGCTGCAGACCTCCTTCCGTCAGGCTGCAGTTGCCACTTGTAACTTCCTTTCTCCTCTGTTTCTTACCGTCACTGTCCTCCAGAGTCCTGGGGGGCCTTACATTTGGTGCAGTGACTCAAGGCTGCTTTTTCCCCCATAAGAAACAATGACTCCCTGTGGCCACAACTAGAAATGGCCAAAATATCCCAAGTCCCAAAACCTCCCCCCACGTGGCGGTGGGTGTGGGGCGGCGGGTGCCTCGGAGGAGGTGGGATCCTCGCCTCAGGGTCGCAGTGTGGGGACCCGATGTGGCCTCCATTAGAAATAAAACAATAATGAGTCAAATAAAAAATAGAATAGAATACAATTAACCTGTCGTGTGACCATTTGCTGACAGGTTGGTTACTGGAAAGACACGGACCCAGAGGACGCAGCAGAAACCGTCAAAACGAGGGGAAATGAGTCGTCCGTGGTCCTGACGGGCCTGGAGGGAAACACGCTGTACCACGTCACGGTCAGGGCGTATAACGGAGCCGGGTACGGGCCGCCCAGCAGCCAAGTGAGCGCCGCCACCGAGAAATCCCGTGAGTGGCCCGGGCTTTCTGTTTGTCTCACACGCGAGGGAGGCAGCCCTCCCGTGTCCGAGCGCCGTCCTGAGAGCGGGCGGAAGGGGGCTCTGATTCCCGCCTTGCTGCGGAGCTCAGATCTGAATTCCGAAGGGGAGCTCAGGAGGCCGCATGCACGGGGAGGAAGACACGAGGCTAAGCGATGCTGACACGGGAGGAGATAAAAGGGTTCAGGTTCAGCAGCTCAGCAGAGGAGCTATCAGAGTGACACTCCCGGAGCAAAACCCTCCTTATCTGACTCCAGCTGGAGGCCGGCCTGTGGCTCCGCCAGCTGCTGCACCCGAGGAGCTGGAACTGAGGGTTTCAGGGACGAAACGCCTAGAAGATACCTCGTCAGCTCACCCCCTTTCCTGTGTCTCTTCTTCTTGGCAGCCCCCAGCCAAGCCCCTGGCAACCTCCGGTGGGAGCAGCAAGGCTCTCAGCTGTCTCTGGGCTGGGAACCTGTCCAGCCACTGCTCAACGAGTCTGAAGTCCTGGGCTACAAGGTCAGTGCCTCCCCTGCAGAGACAGCCCCTGGGGAGCCCGTACGGTCAGTAAGACATGAGAAGGCTGGAGGCCAACCTGCTTGTCCCCATCACTCTCTCTCTCTCTTTTTTTTTTAAGATTTATTTATTTATGCATCCAAGAGCTGGGGTGCAGGCCAGAGGTGTAGGAGGGTGAGAGGATTCATCAGAGACAGAGTAGGGAACAGAACAGGCAGACTGACGAAATCCACTGCTGAGGGGAGCAGCGGGCGAGACAGGAGAGGTCTGCTGTGCCATGTGGGTAGCTCCCTGGCCAGGGATCAAACTCATGCTTCAGTGGCTGCAGACAGTGTCATAGTGCTGAGACTGAACCCCTTGAACCACCAGGGAAGCCCCCGTCCCTTTCTCCTCGTGTCTCAGAAACAGCCTGCCTTCCTGCAGCCGAAAACCAAGGCAGTCAAAGTTTTTCTCAACTGCACAAGGTACGGGGAGGTGAGAGGTGGGCAAAGCGAGAAAGACAGAACTCAGCGTGGCGCAGCCTCCGCCACTTGAAGGACAGAGCGGAGTCGGGGTGTTCCTGCCCAGAGAAACTGTGCTGGCAGATGGCAGAGGCCAGGCGACCGCGTGTGAGTAGAGCCTCTGTTAGCAAGGGAGCAGGAGGAGAAGGGTCGCAAGTCTGGAGGGAGCAGGCCCCGGCAGCGTAGATGCGCAGCCACATACGGCCTCCCCGCCAGTGCCAGCAGGAGACCTGGAACGTGGAAATGTTTCCATAGCTTGTTTGTGAAAGGCAGCTTTGTCTCCGATGTCAAAAAATACATGAGTCTATGTATTGAGTTGGCTGAATTTCAAATTTTGTTCCGTAACGACAGATTCTATTTATTGTCTTAAACTCCATACGGTCATTAGTGGAATATTATTTATGGCAGCATTTAAAATATTTCAACGATAATATTTAGACAGAAAAGCATCATTTAGGCGGATCTTCAGCGATCAGAGGTGGTAACACAGCCCTTTGTATATAAAGTGCTAAAATTCTCTGAAGCTAAAAACTGGAAAAGTTATAAGTGGAGTATATCTCTCAAGGTTACTCCCACTGAGACTATTTGAAGACATGAATGGGAGCACTTTTTTTTAAAAAGATTTATTTACTTATGCATACAAGAGCTGGGGTACAGGCCAGAGATGCAGGGGTGAGAGGATTCCCCAGAAACAGAGTGGCGAAGAGAACAGGCAGATGGACTGAAATCCACTGCTGAGGGGAACAGTAGGCGAGTCAGGAGAGGTCTGCTGTGCCATGTGGGTATCTCCTTAGCCGGGGATCAAACTCATGCTGCAGAGGCTGTGGATAGCTTCATAGTGTGGTGCTTAACCCCTGCGCCACCAGGGAGGCCCCGAATGGGAGCACTTCTGACACGCAATGATCAGTGTGAGTCCCGGGCCCTCTGATCTGTCCTCATCCGCGGGGTGTGGAAGCTGACCTTCTGAGAACACAGAGAGGTCACCTCCCTGCCCTGAGTCAGTCCTCTTCCCCTGCACACTCCGCTGTCTCCCAACTGTGCTCCTCGGGCAACGCCCCTCCATGATTAGGGCTGGGCTCACCCAAAATGGCGCCAGATCACCCAGTGGCCACTGGGGAGGCCAAGTAGGACCCAAGGAAGTTCAACCTGGAAGAACCATCAGGCCTTAGGTCCCCCCTCAGATGAGCAGGGAAAAGCCACGTGACCAGAGACGGCCTGAGTTTGCCATGGTCCCGGGGCTCACAGCTGCCCCTTTGGTCGCTGTCATGGCTCCTCCTCATAAGCACCCCCCTGACCCCCAGACTGTGCGGGGTTGACGGCAAAGACTCCGTCCCATCTGCTCTTCCCCTCATGTGTCTAGAAGAAATGAGTGAGCTCGTAGGCCCCGTGGGTCCCTCCAGGTCATCCACGCTGCACGGGCCCCAGCACGGCCATCAGACCTCACCTCAGATCCCGGCCTGAGCAAGTGGCTTGGCCTGTCTGGGTTTCATTCCTTTGACTTCAAAGATGTCAAAAGCACCCACAGCCGCACCTGCCCTCCGGGATGACGCTAAGGACTACATCCCTTGTGTGAGCTGTGTGGCGTAGAAGGTGCCCGCTGGGTGTTGCCGGGAGAGCGAGCACTGCCCGGGCTGTAGAACACGGTCACGGAAGGGACTGGCCTGTCAGCGCCGCCGGCCGGCCGCCTGGTGGACCCAGCGCCCCGGAGCCCCCGCCCGCAAGGAGGGACAGGCCGGCCCGTCCGAGCTGCATGGTGACGCGGAGGCAAAGGTTGACAGGGGTTTTCTCCTTGCTCCGGGATGGCTGTGCCTGGCTGGTGCCTTGCCCCTGAGCAGGGAGAGCTGGGCCTCTCCAGACCGTGCCTCGGAGAGTAACAGCACCAGGCTCAGTGTTTCTGTCGAGGGTCGCCGGGCTAAGCCGCTACTTTGAGTTTTGCAAGCAGCATTGGACAACAGTCTCGACCACCCCGGGGCCGGTTCCTCCGCGCCCGGAGGCAGCTGTCCCCGCGGCCGCCCGTCTCACCGTGCAGACGCTCGGAGGAGGCCTCGGCCTCCTAACTGCCCATCAGCCTCTCCGGCATGTCTTGACAACTCTTTAACCTCTCCCGTTTCTCATCCATCTTTCGAATCAGAATTTTAAAATGAGCCCGAAGTCACTCCAGCACCTACGACCAGCCATCAGCTGAATATACCTTTTCTCTCGGTCTCCCCACTTGGCGACTCAACGCAGCTCCTCTCCCTGGATGTGTTGGTCAAAGTCGCACGTCATGGCCGACTCCTCTGCTAACATCCACGATGTTTTTCCTTCCTTTATCTCTCGCGCCTGAATCTCAACTGATCCACAAATTTTTCTTCAAGTCTAGATTTTACAGCAGCATTAGAGATGCATTGCCGGCTGCATTTTTCTTTGTCACAGAATTGTAATTTATTGAACCATAATAACAATGTCCTCTAAAATAGTCACTCCCCTGCCAGTCCTCACCGATTTACATACTTTCCCGTTGCCATAAATTTGGTTTCTAATTACCTCACGTGGATGACCAGAATCCCAATGAATGGCACAGCTGCCGTCAAACAAGAAGCTTGAACTCCGTCACGATTGTCATGTTTTAAGCCAAAAGAACCTGCTCTAGGCATCCTGCAAGTCCCCCAAATCATGACGCGGTGCACACCCGCCACAGCACCCGCCACAGCACACACCACCATGCATCATCGCAGTTTGCCCCGTAGTGAGACGAGGCCTGAAACCCCTGGTCTTGTTGCCTAATGAACAACAAATATTCATCACTCTTCACTTACATTGAGGCTCTCCCCTCCTGTCCTATAAAAATTTCCGGGTAGAATGATTGTGCATTATGGTTCTATCGAGAAGTTCCCGCCTTCCCAAGACCCCGAAGTAATGTAAGTGTGTGAAGTCACAGGAAGACAAAGATCTCGCCAGCACGCAGGGGGGGAGGCGTGAGCTCAGGCTTTGATACGTGAAAATACTGGTTTTGTAAAGTTCCCTTTTCTTGTCGTAGGCTAGTTCAGGCTCAGAATACATTTCTATAAGAAAAAAAGGATGATAAATTTTAGTCTTGCTCCCCAAAACGGTTCATCTTTCGCGAGGCGACGGGAATGCTGACCAGACCGTGGACAGCGCTGGCTGCACGAGAGGCCTTCTCGTGACGCTCGCTGGGCTCGGCGGGCCTGCAGCTTGGGCAATTCTCTCTCATTCTCCTAACATACCTGTGACATGGGTGTTGTTATAGCTCCTCTGCAGCAGGGGGACCTGGAGCTTTAGAGAGTGAGTAGCGTTTGAAATGTGCCACGCAGGAAGGTGTAGGAAATTATATTTTGTAGGAGACTGTTTTGAATCCAGATCTCTATGACTGCAAATCCGTCCCTCTTCCCATTATGCCAAGCAGTCATATCCTGATCCCAACGACTGTGGAAAGCAGCGAAACTTAGTAAAAAGGTGTTTAAAATGTCTTAACTACTGCAACTTGACCATCGCACAAAAACAGGTTTGTTGGAGGCAAATGACTAGGAACAGCACAGCTATGTTCAACAGCTCTATCCCAGAACACTCACCTCATGATGTCTACCCTCTCCCTCTCGAGCGCCATAGTCTTGCAGAAATCACATCGCCTTTATACCCGTAGCTTTCTGATATGTAAATACAGGATAATTCCCTGCCCTGTGTGTCGTTCCCAAATTCTGCCGTGAGTATTCATGGCTAATGCCCTGAACAGATGACAACAAGCCTTCACTTGCCACCCTATTGTGTCCGAATTCCAGCTCACCAAAAAGTAACCACAAAAGCACAAATAAATAAAATTTTAATAAAATTTTAACTCTTCAGCCATTCCCTACATCATTAAGGTTTTATCATTGAGATATTTAACCAATTTTCTCTCCCTCCTTTCAAGCAACTTTAGATGACAGCTTTGAGTCCTCCCGCGGGATCCTGTTCTTCCCCTAATCAGGACGAGGAACCTGCAACGACCAGCCCCCTCACGACCTGTTTCTCTAGCCCCAGTCCTCACTATTCCCACATGTCTCCTCTCCATCCCGTACCTTCATGCTGCTGTTTCTTACTGCTTACATGCATGTTGTTGTTTTTTTTTTTTTTTTAATCTCTCTGCTTGGAATTCTCCTGCTCCCCTTTCTCAACGGGTGAACTCTCAGGTCATATTTAAGCACTTAGCTCAGAGATCACCTCCTCTGAAAACCCGCCCCTAAGCCGCAGACAACATTAAGCTCTGCTTGGGGCTCCGGTCACGCTGAAGGTAGACGGCCACGGCAGACACACGTCGCAGCTGCTTGAGGAGCTGTCTAGGCTGTAAGTTCTCTGGGCTTAGCTTCGCTTCTGACAGTCGAGGCAGTCAGTCCACACGTGTAACCCTCCAGTCAGGAGCAAGTATTTCAACCTCTGTTATTATCCCCAGGTGTTCTACAGGCAAGAGGGTCACAGCAGCAGTCAAGTCATTGAAACTCAGAAACCTCAGGCAGTGGTTCCCCTCCCTGAAGCCGGCGTCTACATCATCGAGGTTCGGGCGTACAGTGAAGGGGGCGATGGGACCGCGAGTTCCCAAATCAGGGTACCATCTTACTCAGGTGAGTTTTGACGTCATCCGCTTAATTAGATATTAGCAGTGTCAAGGTGTGTGAGCTTCCGCCCAGTCAGCATGATGGATGGCAAGGTCTGGAGACTCTTAAGGGTCTTTTTCTCACTCTGATTTCCAGGCCTTCCCCCGGACGCGACACTTGGTAGTCTGCCCACAGTGGTGGAATCTCTGCAACCCTAGAAAGGACTTGAGGTTTTCATTAAAGTGTCCTTATTTTTGAAATTCTCTTGCCGCGGCTGGTGTCGTGTGGTGCCTGGCTGGTCATCTGTGCTTTGCAATGTGGTTTTCAACTGATATTGCGCTAGATTAACACACCTACTTCTCAGCCTTCTGGATCGCCTTTGTCGTTAGATCATCCAGAACGGGGGCGGGAAAGTTTAAAGGGCATGCTCTTTTTTAAAAAAGATTTATTTTTATTTATTTATGCATACAAGAACTGGGGTGCAGGCCAGAGGTACAGGAGGTAAGAGGACTCACCAGAGACAGAGTGGGGAGCAGAACAGGCAGATCTACTGAAATCCACTGCTGAGGGGAGCAGCGGGGAGACAGGAGAGGTCTGCTGCGCCCTGTGGGTAGCTCCCTGGCCGGGGCTTGAACTCATGCTGCAGTGGCTGCCCATAGCTTCATAGTGCTGCAACGTAACCCCTTGGCCACCATGGAGGCCCTGATAGGTATGTTCTTTATAATTAAAATTTGATCATTTTTATTGACTTCAGAATAAATTGTAAGTCTATATTATCACTCTTTTCTTTGTTTTTGTCGTATCCAGCTCTGTTGCTATCTCACTGACATAATGTCATGTAATCTAAGAGTCTTGGTTTACACACTTACCTGCTGCAAAGTGATTAGCTCCATAGTGTTAGCTGCCACCTCCTTTGTGTCACATAACTGCCTCTTCTTTTTTGTGGCGAGGGTGTTCAAAATCTACTGTCTTAGCGACTTTCAAGCCTATCCTGCAGTGTGATTAACTTAATCACCACGCTTTGCATTAGAGCTCAGACTTATGCAAGCATCTTTGCTATTAGCAATATTAATAACTTTTAGCTTTCAATGTGTCCTTACTGTGTCAGGCACCACCGTAAGCTCTTTATATATGTCATCTCATTTAGTCTTAGTATCTACCTTAGGAGGTGGCTGGTATTATTCCTGTTTCACAGAGAAAATGTCTTTGATTTGCCTAAGATCACACTATTACTAAATGTATTAACCCAGAATTAAATCCAGGCTGGCTTGTCTCCAAGACCAGGGATCTTCATCACAGCCATCATTACCACACAGCAAGGGAAAACTCATTAAAAGAAGGGAGGTTTTACAAATTTATTTATTTTAAAGATTTTTTTATTTACTTATGCATTAAAAAACTGGGGTACAGGCCAGAGGTGCGGGGGAAAGAGGATTCACTAGAGACAGAGTGGGGAGCAGAACAGATGGGTCCACTGAAATACACTGCTGAGGGGAGCAGCAGGAAGACAGGAGAGGTCTGCTGTACCCTGTGGGTAGCTCCCTGGCCGGGGATTGAACCCAGGATGCAGTGGCTGGTGATGGCTTGATAGCACTGATACTTAACCCCAGCACCACCAGGGAGGCCCAGATTTTACAAATTTAGAAGAAAATAACCATTTCAGTGAGGTATCCAAAAAGGAAGCTGACATTTAATTAACATGCAAATATCTCATTAAAAAGTATTTAGGCAACTTTCATTAAAACCTTGTGTAAAAAAATGTTTAATGTGCTTGGAGTTAGTGGGTGATCCTGAGCATGATGTACTGAGCAGCCCGCCCCCCAACCCCCGCGGCACAACTGTCAGCCCTTGGGGGAGAGCCCGGCAAGGTCCTGCACCCCTATGCGGGCTCTCTCGTATCCAGCTGCTTATCAACTTGAGTTAATATCAGAGGCATTGCTTATGGATTACTGTGATGCCGCAAAGTGACACAGAAGACAAATACAGTGGAAAAAAATAGTAAGATGACTGAAAGTTTGAGGGAAAGCTATAATACTTGAGACGGAAATTCTTACATAAAAATACAGGATGAAATAAAGGACATTATTGGGACAGTTCATAAAATTTGAATAATGTCTGTGGAGTAGGCAATATGATATCAACACACATTTCCTGATTTTAACAGTTGCTCTTTGGTTATTAAGAAAATGTCATATTTTTAGCATTAAAGCATTTAGCGGTGAAGGTACATGATGTCTGCAACTTACTGGCTCAGGAAAATGTATATATATTTTTATAGGAAGAATAATAAAGCAAGAATGATAAAATGTAAACACGTAAGGAATCTGGGCAATTCTTTGTTTTATTCATACAACTTTTTGGTACATAAAAAATCAATTTCAAAAAAGAAAAGTTGGAAATTAAAGAGAAACCTAAGATTCAGGAAATCTTTTTCAAAAATTCAGGTGAAAAATCTTAAGAATTTAAAAGCATCATGGACACACAAACACTCACTACGTGTATGATTCATCTATAAAAGAAGAGTTCCAAGAAGGACAATAATGTCCCCATACTGATTGTTTCACAATCTCCCTCTTTTGATGTGGCTATTAAATGTTCAAAGCACCAAGAAAGGCCAAAGATTATTTCTGGAAACAGAAAAAATGGCAGCCCTCCTCTTTCCTCACTTCATAAGACCCAAATTTATAATAACAGCATGTGGCATATTTCCTGAGCACTCATCAGTTTCCACATGCTATTTTATCCTTCTGGAAACCTTGGTGATTCTCTGACGCTGCACGGTCCCCTTCTCTCTGACCCTTTTACTCTAAAAGACCATCTAAATTAACATCAGCCCCAAGCTCGGGAGTCGTACTCAGACAGACATTGATTCTCCCCTTGATATTTTAATTAACTCGAAACTTCTATTCCATGAGGAAAAACATCATGTTTGGTTCTAGGTAGAACTCAGGGGCCAGAGCCACCCATTTCCTGAGTTTCGATAAAGTGAAATCACATCGACCCTCTTAGAGTAACAACTGGTTTCATCCTTATCATTTCCCAAGAACTAAAAGCTGCAAATTTGAATGGCTGCCTGGAGTGAAGCACCGAGTTAATTTTACAGCTGGGATTAGAACTCGCTGTTTTGTTCCGCCAACACCGCAGCCTTTGCTTTTTGAATTCTATGTGCAATGTGGGACATGGCCCTACTTACCGTTTTGAAAGTGAGATGTGTTTGTAAAGTTTCACGTGAGTAGATTCAACCCAGACACCGTCACTCTCAGTTAAGTAGAAAGGACGCGCCTGCAGCTTTACTCACAGAGCTCGTGCGTCCCCCAGCAAGGCTTCCCGCCATGCCTTCCTCTCGCTGCTGGCCATGGTTTAATTAGTTTCATTAGGTTTTATTAGTGCTTTTGCTGTAAAACTTTTCTCTGTGTGTATGTGTGTGTTACCAAACTAATTCTTCAGTTCTTTTTTTTTTTAATCTTAAAGATTTATTTTTATTTATGCAAACAAGAGCTGGGGTGTAGGCCAGAGGTGTGGGGGGGTGAGAGGATCCACCAGAGACAGAGTGGGGAGCAGTCAGGCAGATCTACTTAAATCCACTGCTGAGGGGAGCAGCAGGGAGACAGGAGAGGTCTGCTGTGCCCTGTGGGTCAGCTCCCTGGCCAGGGATCAAACTCAGGCTTCAGTGGCTGCTGATAGCTTGATAGTGCTGTGTCTTTAACCCTTTGTGCCACCAGAGAGGCCCCCAATTCTTCAGCTCTTAAGTGGGCACCTGGAAAATAAATTTAGACACTGTTTTTGCAACAAAAAATCATACTCAGAATCCTGTTATACTCAGTCTGGCCAGAGAAAATAAGAGAAGAATGATTGTAAACATTGGGTGATGATTTTATTATCCATGTATCATTATGGTGTGAACAAAGGCAAATCATTGTTGAAGAGAGACACAATACATAGCCCCTGTCTCTGACATTAATACAAGGCCTGTAATCTCTTTAAGCCCCAGATCCTCATCTGCAACAGGGGAAGAAATAGTGGCACTTACCACTTAGGAATGTCGTGAGGGTCAACAAGATGAGATGTGTCAAGGTCGTAGTATGACGTAACATGGCATGCAGTAAACATCCACTAAATATCAGGCATGTTGCTGCTCCGGAAGACTTCTGGCTTGAGGAATTATGCCGGAAGTTACCTAAGGGTAGGGCTGTTTGTGGTTATATGGAGTTATCAAGCTAGGTCAGCCTAATCAATATAATCAGTCCGCTTAAGCAAGCAAGCATGTAATACGTGAGCTACGCACAATGTGTTGGTCTCCAGAAGCAAGACTGAGCATAGCAAGAGCGGTGAAAGGAGGCGCTCCTTTGCAAACTGGGTGTGAGAATCTAGAATTGAAGCCCACTCAACTGAGCAGTCAAACCAGTTAAGGACCCTTAAGTAAATTAGAGAAATAGAATATTTTATTAGTAGTAAACTTTTAAAATGACTGAAGTAAAGTGTCAATTCTCATTGCCACAAACTTTTGTGAATTATTTGTGCTCAATTTCCTGAACTATGTACCGTGGAAATTCTTTTATTTCTCACCCTCGGAAATCGGGATGTTTTCCATCACGCAGCCTTGGTGAGAATTACTCTGACCGTCCTGATCAGATGTGTTTGTGACACGTGGTGTCTCCTTTTTGACGTCACATTCCATATACACTTGTGCCCTCCGGATAACTTTCGGACACCGCAGAGAACGTCTTGTTGCCTAAACGTGAGGGTGACCGTCATCAGAAACAGAGCCAGGATGTCACTCACTCATGGTCTTCCAGACCTAAATAACCTCCCGGCTCAAGCAGATCATTTGCTCCATTTGCTGTTTCTCTTTCCTCACAGGTGGGAAAATCACGAGTGCCCAGTCGTCCCTCCACAGCCTCTCCACGTCCTCCTCTTCAGTGACGCTGCTCTTGGCTCTGGTGATCCCTTCCACCTCGTGGTGAAAACGCAGACTTCATTTGCTTTTCTTTGCTTTAGCTTGATAACAGCAGTGGATAGCGTGTAGTGTCCGTGGAGATCCAGGACTGAGACGGGTTTTGAAAACTTGTGACGGCCCAGGGCGCGCTCACAGGAGGTCAGCGGGACTCGACTTACCCACCAGGTTTCTCTTTGATTTTTGTAAAAGGAGAAGACACTTCTTGTTCGAATAAAAATATGCAGATTGTATGTAATGCAATTTTGTAAGCACTTGTAATTTCTGTCAAACGTATTCTTTTTCAATATGTTGGAATTTGATACGATGGCCGATGACTCCGCGGGCGCGCCCATTCGTTAGTTAAGGAACTGGTCCTCGCAGATCCGACAAAATACAAAACTGAGAATGAAAAGTCTTCTTAAGGCTCCGAGTCTAGTGTTTCTCATTTGCCTTTCAGCTGACAATTCCAACTGACCGACCAGCAGGAGATAGGAAAAAAAAGACATCAGTTGTGTGGTCTGCTGTCGGATAAGTACACAAATTGTCATCACACCGTATGGTACGATTGCATAGTGAAGTAGCAGGATCTGTCAGGATCCTATTCTGTGTGCTCCCCTGATCCAAGGTACTAGAGGGGGTGCTAAGCTATTGACTTGTGTGCACGGTGAATAGAAGGTGAGCCCAAGTGAGTTTAAGTCTGTTGTTTCTTCTTCAAGTATGCTTATCCAGCTGCAGATACAGTAAATGTGTATTTTCAATAGTGAAAGAGAGTTAACCGTCAGAAAAATATATATAATCACTAAAAACTGGAGATTCTGACCTGCTGTCTAGGGTGCTAACTTGACAAATAAATATAGGACCCAGCTTTCCCTTCCCCACCCACAGCCAACACAGATGTCAAAGGTCCGGTTTTTCTCCTAATTGCAAATAATGATGCATAGATAGTCTGGGGGTGAAACTGGCTCAAGCATAACAAATAAATTTTGAATCTTGAGCGGCCCCATGTATCACATACCACTTACAAAATCTTACCAAGGATTAAAATAAAGAGGACCTGTTGGGTAAATTGGTAGTTTTTTAATTAAGCTGTGGGAACATGACCTCAGTGCTGGACCCAGCTGGTCTAACACTGCATCCTGCTTGGGAAGTAGCCACGTTGGCCGTGGCGAGGAGCCAGCTTGAACCTGAGACAGCTGTTGGAAAGTCAGATGCAAGATTGCTCTGTGATGCTATTTGGCAGCAGACCTAGCAAACATGAGAACGTGTCAAAGGTCAAATGACTCCCAAGACGATGCCTGAAGGGACAGTCATGGCAGTCGCATGCCCCCAAAGCTGGCGACGCCACGGTGGGGCAGGGGACATTAGCATGGGAACAAAAAGTAGCTTTGTGTCTTTTATAAAATCTAAACCTGTCAATTCTACTTGCTTTTGTAACAACAAGGAAAATGAGGTAAAATGGAGCTCAAACGGTGGGCTCTGGAGGTTAATCCCTGTAGAACAAGAGGACAGAGTGGAGTTGCTCTTTGGACATCATGAAGACTGGTTTCAGAGACACGGTACAGCTATTTTTGTTGGCTACTCATTCTTTGTGGGGAGGGGGAAATAAGCAACTAGTGAGTTAACAGATTATTAGAGAAACCTCTGCAGAGAGTGAATACCATACCGAGCCTCTGGAAAATAATGCCCGTGGGGCCTTCCTCAGCACCTCTAAGCGGGAGAAGCTGGGCAGCAGACTGACTGGCAGACAAAACTGATTTCTCCTGAGTATCATGTAGCCTGCAGGAGCACATCGTGCCTCTGGCAGAAATGCTGCAAGAGTATTAAAAAATGGACAATGATTTTTATTTCAAATTTGGCGACTCAAACCACTTTCTTAATTTTCCATGGTATTTTATACTAAACTTAGTGAAGCAAACCAACTAGACTTACGAATCAAATTATTACTGATACTCTTAGAAAACAAAGCCCAATAAAATAGATGGCAAATTCTAATTAACCAACACTTCGCACTAGCTGATGGAGGGGACGTATCTGACAGAGCAGTTACGGCATGTCTGAGGCTGTATCCTACGGGAAGCCAAGATACGGGGTGTTTTTATTTAACATGCACAGAATATGTATTTTGCATCACAACCCTATTTAAAAAAAACAGGTTTTCAATGTTTATGTACTTCTGTATTACATACTTGTTACTTTACAGAAAGCTGAACAGCATTCCTGATCAAGGGACATCATTTTTCAGCTGCAGTACTGAGAGAGCTTTTTCTGGATGGGATAGTGACTGCACAGTCTTAAATCATTAAAGAGACTGTATTTTTGTATAATGTCAATTGCTCTATGAAGAACAAAACACTCCTCATAATTAAAACTTTCATGAAAGTGAACGTTTTGCATACCCCACTGAAGGTACTGTGGACCCCATGTCAAATCATTAAATATATTGTATACAATCTGTATATATACTATATATAATGGGATATACCATGTGAAGGCACAGTCAGATAATAGTTCTGTGTACTGTTCTTGTAACATTAGATCTTTTTAATAAATAATTCTCTTTTTATTGACTTTTATCTTCTGTCCTGTCAACTACATGGGTGACATTATTTCACACGGACCGCAGCATGTTAATGAGTAGGGTAGTTTTCGTGCTAGAAATAGCATCGTGGTAGGGCTCTCCATGTGGCTAAGATTTTAGGTTCAACAATCTGTCAATGTCCATGCTAGCCCCAATGTGGAAACTCAAAACTATGTGAAAGAATAAAGCAAGCAAAGCAGCAAGTGCAAATGGGGTGCATTGAACATTAGATCCATGATTTATTTTTTTTCAGGAAAGGGGCCTCCTGAGTAAATCACGTGTCTATGATGGTACGATCTTGTACACGGAGTCGCTCACTTTCTCTGCTCCCCTAGCGCCGATGCATGTCTGTATCAACAGCCGCGTGGAGTTACGCTGCTTTGTTTCTGAATGTTCGGCCGACACTGTCTAGGCTGTGAAATTCTGTAAGAGAGAGGATCCATATGAGTCTTTGGATCTTTCTGACCTGTGCTGACCACAGTATGTAGCAATTATCAAGTGAGCAATTCTTTACATTTCATTTAATGCTGTCCTTTAAAATTCTCTTTAGAGTGGGTTCCCAGAGCACAGTTATTTATCCAAATTGCCTGGGAACACAAGCAAACTGTTTCTTTATTCCATAGTTTTGACTTTAGAACTATCTACATGGTTTGCATTAATTTAAAATTTAAACCTAAAGGAAAAAGCAAAGCAAACTCTAAACACTGAAAATAAATGGAAAATAAGTAACCTAACTGTGTATCAACCAGATTGATAAAGTTTTCTTTATTGGAAAATTATAACCACATGGATAAGTCTTTCAAGTCAGTAGTTTTAAAATACATACCTAATGAAACTTACATTACCAAGGACAAAGCACACACATAGCCCCAAAATGTTCTTAAGCTGCATTCATTAGGCTTCTGCTTAGTCATATAACTGGTAGAACATTTTTAAACCAGCCAATATATAAATGTTAAAAGTCTTAAAAATATAAATTGTCAATATTAAAGATATGCATATGTAAATTTTTAACTTAAATATATCCCTTAATCTTTGATTTAGAAATATCAGTATGAAATCATAATTTATTTAAACTCTTTCCTTAAAATTACCTGTTTTTTAGCTCTGTTCACTGGAAAGATCTAGAAGAACAATGAACACCCCTACTGGACAATTAATACAAGTTATGTATTTAGATGTGCAAATTGTCGTCTTCAGATTCCATTTACCACTGAAAGGAATCAGGACTCTCTTGGAGAGATGGCTGATTTAAGGTCTTAGGTAGGAGACGGACAAGGTGAGCCTGGAACTTCTTATTGTACCTATTAAAAACAGCATGGTCATGACAAAGTCCAACAGACATCCCACACTAGCAAAAGTGGGATAACTTCAACTCATAAAAAACCATGGTAGTCATAGATTAAAACAATGCATGGTTTCATCCTAATCCACACAAATCGATGGATTTCTTTGCACTTGCAAAATTCATCATCCAGAATAATGTTTTAAAAACATAAAAAGGGACAGAATTAAATATCCTGCCTTTCCTATAAGGAGGGTGTGTCAGGAAAATCAAATTGTTGATGAAGACTAGCACCACTTTATTAAAAAAATCACAACTTATAAATGCAAAAGGAAAAAAATGAAAATAATAAATATTTACTCAGGCAACAACTAGCAGTAGAAGTTAAGACCATTAAGTAAAATGCTGATGAAAAACATTTCAGTAAAAATGTCAGACTGCCCCCATCTTGAACCCACTGATTTTAAACCCCTGAGAGAGACACACAGACATTGATTCCGCCCTGATCATTGAAGTGGGTGTACACAGCACTTCCTCCCTAACATTCTTGCTTTAAAAGTTTTTATCATGAGCCTGAATTTATTAAAACTCTATGACTAACTACCATTGAACAGAAAATGTTGGGTAGTAGAAGAATTTAAAACCACAGGAAGGAATGAGTGAAATCCCAAGTATAGGGGATCCCATGGACAAGACTCATTCAAGGTGAGGAAGGGAACAGTGATCCTAAAGTACACTGAGGAGCAGTATCAGCAGAGTGTGATGTGTGGACAGTGTTAGGATCCTGATCCAGGCAAACCAACTGTAAAGAAAATACACATGAGATCATGTGGAAATTTTAATATGGGTTGGATATCAGAAAGACATCCAATGACGAAAGAGGGGTTGAAATGTAACAATACTAACCCTTATTTTTTTTAATCATTGTCATTTAGAGATTCATACTAAAAAAAAAATGATATCTGGAATTTGCCTTAAAATATTAAAATAAACAACATTCGAGGAGTAGAATATATGAGACAAAAGTAGAAGATAATTTTCATTGAAACCTAATGATGGGTGAGTAAATATTTATTATCCTATGCTCAACATTGACATAAGTTTAAGTTTAATATTTTCTATAATAAAAGCTTGGAAAGACTTATTTTAGATTCCTTGGCAGAAATAATTACCCATAAAATACTTTAAACAGGGATCATAGATATATTTCTAGGTCTTGATCTATATTACTTATAATGAAATACCAGATAATTTTCTCTTAATATAACATTTAAGAGAAAGGGGAAATCTATACCTTTTAGGAAACGTAAAACCTGTACCAAATCAACCTATTTTAATTTCCTATGCTTTTAAAAAAACTTTTGTTTTCAGGGGAAAAAATGTAGCATACCACAATTATAACAAGACACATGTGTTCCCCTTTGAATCCAGCATTCATCCAGTAGCAATAATACTGAGTCTGATTTTTGTAAAATGCATATTGCTAGTGAGTCAGAAATATGCAGGAATAAATTTTTGCAGTGAACAATATTAAATGGATCAAAATGAAATTCACTAAATAGCTGGTTGTTCCCACCTTAAAATTGAACTGCAGTTTTAATAAGCAAATTAAGCCTCACTTACAGTGCCTCGCCAACGTGACATGAAACTAGAGCTTTCTTCCTGACCTGACTGTCAGAGGCCCTGTAGTAAGAGAGGTAGCCCCCCACTGTTAGCAGCATGTGTTCAGTGGCAGCTTCACAAATGTTCTCAGATGACAGATTTCCTATCTCTATTGCTTCATTTATTCTCTAATTTTGAATCAAATCCATAACAGTTACCAGAAAAATCCTACATCTGGCCAAGCATCTGGACCCCTCATCAGTCATCTCCCTGGCATATTACCTATTAACTTCTAACAAGAACCAACTTAAGAGAACATCACCACCATACTTCAGAAATAATCCAGTAGTCGACATTCCCTGTGTGATGGAAACTTGCTCACCACATCCATTTCTTCCTCTCCCCAGGAAGACAGCTAGATGACTTTTCTCAGCCTCTCTTTATCTTGGGTAAGGACAATAATGGCAGTCTAGTTAATAGAGCATCATAAAAGTAATGTCTGCAGTAGCCTGACTCACAGCCTAAGGTTTACTTTCTAAGACTGATCTTCTTGCTAAAAGGTGGATCTTTTCAGACTGAAGGAATAAATCTCCCTTTTTAAAACTGTGTTTTAAAAGTATCATTACCTCCTGTGCAAGCATATGTTATGCACTTCCCCAGCTCCATTGACCTCACCTGTCCCCCAGGATGCTTGCTCCATGTCAGCTGCCAGTCAGCTGACTAACTCCCTGCAGGTCCACTCAGGTCCACTGCATGGAACCAGGGGTACCTTAACCTGGAGCCCCAAGTGCGTCCCTTTGGCTGCCGCTCTCCAAGCCAGCCCAACAAAGCATACCTCTATGCCTTGTGAGGTTCTGGTCCCTCTCACTATTTCTGTATGCAGATAAAGTAACAGTGCAGGGGATGGGATCTGTTTTCTCAATGAGCTCTTAAGGGTACCGGATGGTGCAGAACAGAAGTGCAAAAAGCTAATTCCTGGGAGATGGAGTCTGACCAATAGAAAACAAGAGCCATATGGGGCCAGATAGATAAACTCACTCCCCTCTTTCCTTTCCTATAGATGTTCCAAAGCTTAATTGTTTTATATAGTCTATCTAGAGATATTCCACATAGCCAGAGACATATGTTTGGTACGGATGTGGTTCCATCAAAGCTTAGCATATAGCAGTAAGCTGAGTACCCATTGTCTTACCTTGCTTTACATACTTCCCTGCCTTACTTTCTATTCCCCTTACTTGTGCTGCCTTGAAATTGCACCACAATTTACATACAAGATATCCTGGACTGAGAGAATCCATACCATCCTTTAAAGGGAACATTGGTTCATTGAAAAATAGTTCATTTGAAGTCTGGGGCAAGAATTGTACAAGATAAGCTTGCATTGTCTAGGAGTTGAGAGGAAGTTAAAATGACAAATGGGGTCATGATGAATGAGCACAGGTTCTATCTTGAAAATGGTTCCAGTGATACATGGAAAATAAATAAGATTTAGATACTCACCATTTTACCTCCCCAATGAAGCGGACAACATTTATCAATGGACACTAAAACAATGCATCACCATCACCTGGATCTACTCACCAGCATCACTCAAAATAGGATAGTGATATGTTTTTGACCACCTGCTATCCAGTATATGATTAAAGTTAAGTTTTTGTCAGTGAAAAATGGACTACATCCATTGTAGCTATAAGATGTTTTATGTAAGCCTCAAAACAAAAACGTGCAGTAGAGACACAAGTGAGAAAAGAAGGAAATAAATCATGCCATTTTTGAAAATCATCAGTTTACAAAGGAAGACAGCAAGAGAGGAAATAAAAAAGCAAAGGAACTACAAAACACCCAGAAAAAAAAATCTTTACCTATCAATAATCGCTCTAAATTTTTCAATCAGGGGCCACCCCTGGTGGCGCAGCGGTTGAGCGCTGGGCTGCGAAGCTGCCCACAGCCTCTGCAGCGCCGGTTCGATCCCCAGCCCACATGGTGCGCAGGGTCCCACATGGTGCACAGACCTTTCCTGCAGTGCCCGCTGCACCCCTCAGC